CTTTAATGAGATTTTAGGGGGGGGAGACTTTATTGACTCGGCTCGTCATGGTATTATTTATTTTATTGAATTTACATTTTGTAAGGAACGTTATTTCGATTATTAAAACACACACTAGAAAGATTTTGATATGTGTCAAAGGTATGTGAGTTTGAAAAGTGTTTAACTTAAACGGAAATATCTTTATGGAATTGGAAAGTATTTTAGGAATTTTCAATAAATTAATGTTTGTAAAAGATAATATTTGAATTATCTGTACATGATCCAAAAGAAAAATTCATTTTAATAAAACTTATTTATGGGTTAGCATAGCATTTATTTTTGTAAATAAGTGTTTTGTTACAGTAATAAATTTAGCCTTATAATCTATATGGTTTTAAACCTGATACCATCTTAAATTTTAAATTCTTATATATATACTGTTTTGAATAATCAGAAAATCGTTCAAATTAATAATAACCTTAAAATTTAACGCATATCCATTTCCTGCATTAAATGAAAGCTTATCCATAGCAGTACTTTGAAATTAGTTTTTCCCAGATTAATTCAATTTATCTTATCTGCTTAAACTTTTCAGTAATTTTATCAAGTTCTTAATCGGATTTGGGATCCCTGACCCTGGTCCGTTCACTTAGCAGAGGTGGAAACTTTATCCGCGAACTGAACAATAAGCAATTAAATGAAATCCACACTTCTTTGTAGAAATTTCCATAAAAAATCGCGGGCAAAAAGTGATTTTTAATGAAATGAGCATTAAGTTGATAGAGCGAATAAGTGAACTTACTTTTACCTGACCGGGAGTTATGTTTAACTTTTGCTTGGGGAAATCAAAAAACTTTTACTCAACAATGAATCGGGGAAACTGAACAGTGAAAAACGACTCTTTTGGAATGGGAACATTTCAGGCATAAATGTAATTTTTTAATCTCTCTCGGGCAAAACCCACATAAGTGGGAATATCGAGTGGGAGAGTGTGTGTGTGTAGGGCCGACCTTTTATAACCTTCAAATGAGCAGGCAGTTTTGGGGCCCATATTCTCTTCAGCCAAATAACAATTTAATTATGAACATACTCAGCTTTGCTCTCGGGTCTCCTCACTCCCAGTCTCTCTCTTCTCTCTACCAAATCCAAGGACAAATTATAGCCATAAAGGAGCTTTGGTCGCCTTTTGCCTGTGGATAGGCTAAGAGCTCATTAATGTCACATTCATGGCAACTCCGGAAAGAGCATAAAACGAGCAAAAATTCTATCAGGGAAACCCCAGACGGGGACCTGGACCGAAACTCCATTCAAATTGAGTGCACACAACAAATTGTTGGGTGTGTGTGTGGCCGTTTTGTGGGCCTGTAAGGCAATTAACGTGAGTTTCCCCCCCACACTCTTCAGTACTGCAGTAAAATAATCAAAATTAGCCAAAATCGCCACTGCCGTTTTGGGTCTTTTTTGGGATGAAATTTATTAGGCAGGATTTTGTGTGATAAAAGTCCGGGTATATAAAATTGAGTGTTGAGGGAAGGTATAATGTACTTAAGAGGGGATAATTCTAAAAATAGAGCCTTAATTTTCAGGAGATATATGTTAGTAAATTTAAAAATAAATTAGGGAATTGTTACATAAAAGACAAGTTTTTAAAAAACTTTTAAATAAAAGCTTGAATAAATAACAAGAATTTGTTCAAGATACATATCAAATCCATATAGTCTTAAGGTCATTTTTTAGGATTAACAATAAAAGACCTAATCGAAGTCTCTCTTAAAACAGAACCGGGATTTTTGCTCAATTTTAATTAAAAGTATAAAACTAAAACTCTTTCCTTCTTACTAATGGGAACTATAAGCATTGTTGCTAAATTGCTTGTGCATTGCTGGCAAAGTCTTTCTCTCTATCCTTTATAAATCGAATTTCCAGGCAACCCATACTTTGCGGTTTTTTGTTTAAACAAAACTCCCTCTTAGAAAACCCTGTTATTATTATTATAATTATTTAATTATTTTCTATATAACACCACAACTGAACAACAATGAAATTACCCAAGTAGCTGGTTTCCCTTTGAAGTCCTGATCGTTCTTCACTTCCTTAGAGCTTCGACCTGCTGGTGGTTTGGTTCTCTGTTTACCCCGTCGCTCTAATTAAATTTGATATGCATATTGCTGGGGCATTTCAAGTGGCCAGACACAAGGACGAGAACCCCCATTTTCCGAGGTAGAGAAACCTTGTGGTTGGCGTCCCGCCTCCTATATATGGGTAATAAATTTGATTAGTAGGATTTACGGGCTCTTTCTCTCGGGTCGACGTCAAACGCTTTTCTTGCTGCAGTAAATTTTATGCTAAACAGCAGTTGAAAAATGGTTGGAAAAGCAGGGTTGGTCAAGGGTTTTTCCTCTCTGTGTGCTTTCTCTTTCACTTTTTTAGTGTTGTGTGTCTTTAACGTTGAACGAGTTGTTACAATAAATTGTTTATTGCATACTCTTGGGGCTCTCTCTCTCACACTCTTTGGACATGTGTACTGCGAAACATTTAAAGTGAAAAGTCCAAGGTAACTATCCCCAAGACTCCCTTTGAGCAAGGGGTTTACAGTTTTGCCAAAAAGTATGCAGCGACCCCATCATTAACATCATTATCGATGGGGGTCCATAGCGAAACCAGAAGAAAAATCACCAAAAATGATGCCAAGGCCCAGGGGCCGAGATTATGCGATAAAGCCAGAAGAACACACACAGTCACAGGCACGTGAAGTGAAGTTGAGATGGCCAGGCAAATGTCCTTTTTTATCCTTTCTGTGTACCGATGCCTTTTTGCGGCTTTCAGCCTCACAGCATGCTGCCATTTTGCTGACTGCCAAAACTCAAAATGAAATGCAGTCAACGCCCTCACTTCCGACACTCCCGCACAACCGCATTTCCTCTTATTTTACACTGGGAAAAATAATGTTTAGGGATGGGAGATGTTATTTTAAAGAAAAATGCGAGTTTCCTAAGATAAGATAAACAACATTTAAGTAATATAAAATATTTAACAGGATTCAAAGTCATTTCAGAGTCATTTCCGACCCTATAAATCATGTATATTCTTGATCAGCATCAAGAACCGAATCAATCTAGACATCTCAGACAGAACATTTTTTTTTTTTTTAATTTTTTCAAAATTTTAAAAGGGGTTACATCGTTAAAATTGCTAAAAATTTTATAAAATTTGTATTTTGAACTGAGTATGCAGATTTGTTAACCTATTAAAAACTAACTTATGACAGTTTTCCGTTTTGAATTTAGCGCGTTTTTGAATTAGTTAGTTGAATTGTCATATACAAATATTCATATAATATAATTTTTATTTAATGTTGTATTATTATTAACTTAAATTGAACTTTTAAACCTATCAGAAACTTAATTCTAAATGCCTTTTTTATTAAATTTATGAGTTTGTTTTACGCTGTAAGAGTCCCTTTCTTTGAATTATAATTAATTATAATGACCAGATTCTATATTCTTCTACCATTTATAAAGAATTCTCTATTAATTTCTTTAGTATTTAAATAAAACAATGATTTTATATCAGTGTCTATGGTCTCTTCAGTTAAATTATGCGCATTGGGCTTCTTTTGGGTACTGAAATTATTTCACTCCCTAGCTCTCATGTTGGCTGATGTAGATTCACCGCCCTTCACAGCTTCGTTCCCTTTGTGACTCTGTTTGTGGCGAAAAATGAAAAGAGATTTTTTTTTATTTTCCGTTTGCATGCCAAAGACGAGGCTTAATAAAATAAGAAAAAACGTCTAAAAACGACAGAAAGTGCATTTTGATGATTGGCACGCTGCTGGGACATAAATCTACATTTGCAATTGCAGCCTGAATCAATTGAGGCGAATATTTAAATGTCATGTGCACAAAGGCCTTTGAAATTTATTCCTAATAATAAACGGAAATTTTCGGATATTTCGCATAGGTGAACGCTATTTTTCAACGAATATTTTAGTGAGTTTTTGCCGAAAAATACTTTATATAATTCGGCTGAGCTATGTGGGAAAATAATAATAATCAAATGTTGATTTTAAGAGGAAAAATAAATATGATTGGAGATAACTTTATGAACTTTAAATAATCCCAAGAGCTGTTTTCATATATTAATATATTTTTTATTCTTTTTTTCATTGCAGGTAAGCCTCAGCTGATTATGACTGAACACATATTTTAATTAAGTATGTATGTATTTGCTATTAATCTTAACATCTTTGGGTTTTTTCAAGTATATTTTAATACCCACATAAAGCAAATAACATGAAATTATAAATAATATCTCGTTTTTTTTTAATCTTTTAATGGCCTTGTTCGCTAGACTTTTATGCCATCGATTTAATAACAACGAACATACTTATTATATTTCATAACCAGCTCGAAAGTAAACAAATTGGGTTTTATATGTGCTTTAATAAGACTTATTTCGATGCTCGAATTATCGGAACACAATCAAATTACAATTTTCGCAACGGCCAACGAAATTAAACCATGTCATTAACATATTCGCAGAGTTTTAAATGAGAATATCGCATTAATTATTATCAATTTTCAAAGTGTATATGGATGGAGTGAGAAAATAAACGAAAACTTTTTTAAAAATTCAGCTCTTGGAAAACGCTAATAAATCAATGCAAAAATGCATAAGCGAAAAGAGGAGGAAAATTAAAATCATAGCAAGGGGAGGGACTAGTAGGGGACATCGGTGGCGGCATTAACATAACAGTTATGTGCATATTAAGTGTACATTATGTTCCTTAATCCAGACAATAAAGCACCCAAACAATGCGGCAGCAGCCACAGCAAATAAATGAAATTTTACAACAAATCAATGGACTGCAACGAACCAACCGTTTTGGTCCTTGAATATGAAATACATATGACGCAGGCATTAATTGAAATGAAATGTTAATGCCACACCGACAGATGTTCAATGGTGAAGATTTGCAATCGGAATTAGGTCAGAGATTAAATCGAAATATGTGTATATATACCGTAGAGATTAGTGTGGGAATTTTATTTTCAAAGTATAGGTAATTATTGATAAGACACAACAAGCCTATGTTATTTCCATCAAATATTCCGAAATTGTTCATCCATTTGAGAGTTATGCATCTTATTTTCCACCATGAACATTGCACACACGACAGTCTCCATTGATGATGACATTGCCAGGATTTAGGGGTGTGGCTAATTGAATAGATTTATAGATTTATTATTAACTTATCACTCACAGAATATGATTAGTATAATCAATTATATTTACCGCTAGCCAGAGCCAAAAGGCCAAGCAGAAAGGCAACCGATAGGAATTTCATTTTTGTTATTAGCCGAACAGAAGCGAGTACTGAACTGATGCCTTTGCCAGACTCATCCCGCTGCTTTTATACCTCCGATCAGTAGTCGTTGTTATCAGCTTTTGGGTTGGGGCAAAACCGCATTATTGATTTTTTACGTTTGGTATTACCCTACGCTTTACTGTGAAAATCCCAAGTCTCTGCTATCTCCCCCATCCCCATCGATTTCAGGTTCAATTAACTGCAGTTAATTGCACTTGAACTCGACTGCATGCGTCTGGTTGTGGGTCTCGGGTCTCTCTTCTGAAGAAATTTAGAACTCGTTTTGCTAAGCCCGTTGTTTTGATTGACAAGCTTTCCAGGCAATCGTAAAAATCCAATATCTTGCCTTTGGTTGGATATCAAAAAGATACGTCATAGCTCGTCGCGAATGCTTAGGAACAGGTTTTTATTTATTATTATTATTATGATGCTTCTTTAACTTCAATTCAATTTGTATTTGTCCTAAATATGTAAATATATTTATGATTAAAGTGCATAACACCTAGAAGCAACTGCTTGGCATATATATTATATAAATTTATATATATGTATATATTTATGTTTATTAAATTTATATGATTAATGTTAAATGAAAAATGCTGTAGAGATACAAGTTTTAATTTCTTTCAATTATTTATAATCAATTACTTTTGCCAAAAAAATATATCTTATATGTTTCACTTTGGATTTTATCATTTAATATATAATATAATTTAAATCGAGACAAATATTATTAAGCTGAAGATGATAATGAGATACCAGTTTAATCAAAACAAAAAGAACAAGTCACTTATTTGTTTTAATTATTTCGAATGAGTTTGATTTGCTTTGAGATTTTCTTGTTTTTTTAGGCTTCTTTATTGTTTTTAATATCTTTCATGGATGTATAATAAGTGTTATATTAAAATAAATAAAAGAAAAATATGTTTTACAAAATATTTAAGATCAAGATTGATTGGTTTGTGATATTGATACTACTTTCGTTTAATTATTATAAGATCTTCTGAGTTTAATATTTTTTGATACATTTATTCATTTAATTTATAACTTTACATTTTGTATTGCTGTTATTTGGCTTTGAATTTACAACTTTTATTCTCTAAATAACATTTTAAGGGCTGATTTAATACTCATAAATTTTATTTCGTGTACAAACTTGACAATCACTATTTATGCTTTGGCTGACATTTATATTAGCACAAAAACTATATTTATGAGAAATATTTTTATTTAATATATTTAAGTTAGTTTACGAACTGAAGATTGAATTTTATAATATTTATTCCATTAAGTGTAAACATATTCGTCATCAAGTAGGTCTCCGCGTCTTCTAAGATATTTATTTGATTATATTGTATTAAATATGGATAATTCCGGATGTCGTACGGGGCACTCTCTTGTTTTAGGGCTGTAAAAACACCAATAAATAAGTTTTTTTTAAGTACTTTACTGCCAAAATCACTATAATCACCATTCATCAGCACTAACTACACAGATTGCCATCAGAAAAACAAAAGCGAATTTCAGGAGCTTCATTTTGAAGGATATGAACTTATTTGATTGCCGAACGAAGTGGAACTGAGCTCCTAAGAAGGAACATAACTAATATATAGGATTCCATAAGAAGGTTTTATCGCATAAATTCTGTAGAGAAAAAATGGTCTTTGAGCGCAGTTTTTCTTATCAAATGATGACGGAAATAAGTGCAGGGAATGTTTTGCTGATACCTTTGGGACGCGTGCCTCTGTAAATATATATTTTTCACTATTTATAAAGTGAAACAACGTTTTCCGGCCTATGTGTCATACAAAATATGTTATCAGAATTTATTAAAGTCTCAGGAGTCCCATAAAGATGAATTATAATTACATCAATTGACGCAAATTCTGCAGTTTCAATTTCCTCTTTGTATTTCATGTGTTCTTAAAATATTTCATAATTCTTGTGTTTTGAAATTACTCACTACTTTGCCTATTTCCAAATTTAAAGAAATAATTGGTTTCTTAGAATGAATTAGTTTATCATAATAATTTTTATGGTATTTTCAAAAAAACTTGCCTTTTGTTTGTAAGTTGAAATGTTTTCTATTACTTCTGTTTTATTACCAATGAGGAAAACTCGTGAAATCTATTGAAAACAAGAAAAGAGTCAATCAAAATGGTTTGCAAGTTGGAAGGAAACTTCCCTGCAAAGTGCAAAAGGGAACCAAAATTGCATTACAAACTTGGAAATCAACTAAGAGGAACGGAACTTCATCATGTAGATATATATATATAGATATATATATTACGATTTGTTTAGGGTTTTGTTGTATTCTCGTCAAATTTTGTTAAGGGAGAACTGTGCCAAGCTTGCGGAAATTTGTATGATTTTCAACTATGTGTACTGACAATATTTCCCTTATCTTATCTTTTTCTTAATTTATTGCCTCTTCCCTATTTATTTGTATCATTATAAATATTTACATTACATTTATAAGAAAATAAAGTAATGAGTCATTTATCGTAGACAAAATGTTGAAAGAGTCATATCATACTTTCAGGCTGAAACTACTTTATTTATTTTTTATATTTCCCAAGACCCTATATTTCCTCTCACATATTTGAGACAACTCAGTTGTTAATCTCAATTGTATGTATCAATATTTATCACAGACAATGCTGCCATTTTCTGTGAGTTCACTATTTAGTCCATTAGCTAAAGTCTATTAAATTAGAGAGAAGGGAAATCATTGCTTATGATTCACCTTTAATGACAGGGAAATCACATTTCATTTCAAAATGTAGCCAGAAATGATAAATGCTTCATCACATTGATAATGCCTTCTCTATATACATATATCCATGTCTAAGAGTATCTGTATATATATAAGGATAGGGAGAGAAAGAGGCATGTACACGTGGCAGTTGGAGCTGTTTAATCAAATTACGAACAGGACGACAGTCTCAGACAATAAAGTTAATTAATTTACCGTGCCAGGGACATTGACTTGGTCCTTGTTTCGGTTGGCAGGCATTTTGACAGATGCATTGGACGTAGTCCTGTCAGATCCATTGTGAGGTATGTATATAGGTGCGATTGTGCAGTAAATTAAATTTAATGGAAAATGTTTGAACTGCTCTCTGACAGTGTGACACGTTTTGCAAATTTTGCCAGCTTCGACTCAAGCTTGGCTCATTTTCGTAGTCTTGACGAGGTAAAGCAGGTATGCAAATCACGAACGAAATTCGATTATAAAATATTAATCTATTAATTTGTATTCCACCCACTCAATTGACGCCACTCGTTGTTCATAAATCAAAGCGAAACCTGTTAATTTTTGGTCATGCTGGGAGGATTGGATTTAAACTCAAACATTAACTCGACACTTTTGGCAAATGTATAACGAAGCGCAGGCTTGTCAATTCCTTGTGCCGCAATTTATGCTAATTTAGTTATAACCTTTCTTGAACCCACACACACACACACACATAGAGACACATTCCTGAATGACTGGCAACAATCCATTAGTGGGTTACTAACGGTACCCGGCCGCCGCCATTTTGTGTAACAACTGCAAATCAATGGCCTGACATGTGAAAAATGGCTGCCATTTTGGGTGCTATGCTACTCTGCTCCCATTGTTATATGTCTATTATAATATTGGAATATTATTTTATGCATGCAACTGGGTCCGACTTACACACACACACACACAAATATATACATATTTTGTGATTGTGTCTGCATTTTCGTAATCAAGCTCATGATAAATCGTTGGCGCAAAATTTATTGAGTTTTTGCATGACATTACCAAAGCGATAGCAGCTGCAGCCTGAAATAGAAAAAACCTAGTAATAAAGAGAATAATGCTAAAAAGTGTCTATCTATTTTATTTTGGGTTTTTTTTGTCACCTATTTAGGATTGTGGAAGTTATAAGATAGGGCATTTGGGGTAATTATTGTAAACAAATACCTTTCTAAGGTTTATAATAGCTAAACTATTTTAATTTAACTAGTTCTTCATAATTTCGTTTAAAGTTTCTTCGGAAAATATTACAAACAAGACAAAAAGCTATCTTCTGCACACTGAAGTATTCATACCCTTGAGATTGCAATTTGATCACAGAAATTAATACAATGTAAATTAAATATATTTTTAATTGTTCATTTCATTCACCGTTTTGCATTTTTCTGTATTTCTAACGCTCGTTTGTATGGCAGCTTTATGATATGGTAGTCGATAATTAGTAAAATTTTACATAAAATTCTAGATATATACATATATAATGACTATATATTAAATAGAAAATCTGTTGAAAACTGGAAAAGTTATAATTTTTTTCTTAAAACTTTCCGATGGTTCCTATGGCAGGCATTTATATATGTATATATATAGTCCACCGATTAGCCATGCTCCGATTTATATATTAGTAAAATTATATAGAAGAATAATTCCATAGTTTCATTCAAATAGCTTGCTCTTTGTTCCAAAACAAATCTCGCACATCTGTACATATGATTCCCAACTAGTTCTAACATCCCCGGAACGAAGTGACTTCTGCCGGCCGAGTATCAGAAATGTGTTGTGTTACAAAAGTTGCAAGTCATTGTTTATTAGTTTCAAAGTTAGTAACTGATCATATACTTACTGGTAAATATAATTACTGGCATAGATATTACTGTTCAGAGTTACTTACTGCTCATAGTTACTTAAGTTAAAGAAACTTCTGATCATAGTCGTACTGGTCACAGCTAATTACGAATCATAGTTCTATAAATCGTCTGATTGTTCCTATGTTAGCTATATATATGTATATATATATAGTCCACCGACTAGCCTGCTCCGATTTATATATAGTAAAATTATATAGAAGAAGAATCATAGTTTCATTCAATAGCTTGCTCTTTGTTCCAAAACAAATCTCGCAATCTGTACATATGATTCCCAACTAGTTCTAACATCCCCGGAACGAAGTGACTTCTGCCGGCCGAGTATCAGAAATGTGTTGTGTTACAAAAGTTGCAAGTCATTTTTATT